AGAGCATTTAAGTTCTGATAGCACTGAATACAAACGACAGGAAAGAAATTTTTGAGACGAAGCAAAAAATCGTATCAATAAAATCGCACAACTTAATATTACTACTAGGATTATATTTGAATGATCAAAAATGCAAAAACAATTCTAATGAAACTGCCACATTTCTCCCACGTTTTCAGCACCGCTCCACTTGCGTCTGTGGTGAAGCGGTTCGGCGCTTCGCTGTCGCACGCAGGAGACACGAGTTTGATACCCATGTGGGAGTATATCGGTATTTCTGCTGAAATGTTCTCTCTCTCTCTCTCTCTCTCTCTCTCTCTCTCTCTCTCTCTCTCTCTCTCTCTCTCTCTCTCTCTCTCTCTCTCTCTCCACCTTAATGGAACATACACTGCAACTTAATAAGGGCTTTGAACTTCATCACAAAATAGAACAGTTTGTAGACAAAATGCAAAATATATCATTTTTAAAGTCTGGCCAAAAACTAATACCTAATCTAGAAAGGCGAGGCACATTCCAGAGTCAACTTCTTTTTACACAAAACGTGTCATGTCCTCTTAAAAGAACTGCACGAAGAAACTTTTAAAAAAAATAAATGTGACAAAAGCAGCAGACCTAGATCTATTTTGGCAAACTGCAGCATATCCTCTGCACACCAATAAAGTTTTTTCCTTCAGTTGTGTGACTTCACTTGTGGTCAACGAAAGTTGTTAAGTGGTTCTTTTCCTTCCTTAATTACAATTATATTGATATTAATGTCGCGTTTTATCTAAAATAGGAGGAGCTAGATTTCATTAATTCAAAGGATAGGAATCCAACATAGATTTCATTATATTGACTAAGCCTTACCACATCATGTTTACTCTAAAAACAAAGTTGCACAGAATTGTTAAATAAATGGTTGAAGAACAGAAATCTCCATTTTTTTTCCAGACCGGAAACATGGACACATCGCATTTTGCTGAAAAACTGTTAATTTATACATAACCAAGACAACCAATCCTTACACTGGAAAAAAAAACACATAGGTAACACACACTCCTCCAAATAGTACAAAACCAAGGAACTACTATGTACTATGTCAGTTCATTATTCCTCACATATGATGAGTGGTAAAAATGGTACTTACGAAAGATTATGGTCAGCAAATCTTGCAATAGACACATTCACTTTGGCACCTAAGTTGTTAAGAAAATGTCGTCTCCTCCAGTTGCAGTTCTCAATTAGAAAATTGCCGGAATAAGCACCTGTGGAAAGATATGTCTTTTCATCTGAATACAGCTCTCAATCATTATAGGAAAATTGCTGGAATAAGCATCAGTGAAAAGAAAGAATATTACGAGAGGCAACGTGTGAAATCAGTGCCTCATCAAAATAATGAATTTTTTTAAACTCCATCCTTTTGGCTATTCTATCTAATTTTTGTTTTTTGGCTCAGCACCTTTTGTATTCATTGAAATACAAATTTATAGAAAAATGCTGATTAAGAAATAAGAAATGTAAATCTGCAGTTTCCAAGAACTCTCAGGCTTTGAAAGTCATGAAACTTTGATGGCCATTTTTTCGCTTGTTTTATTTCTAAAACCAGCTGACTCCCATCTCTTTCAATGGCATATATACCTCAACTTTTGTTCAAGATACATGGGTATTTTTATCATTGAAAGCAAGGCAAATAAATAAGCTTTTAGATTACCAGCAACTCCACATGCCCAAAAATTGACAATCACCTGATTCCACCACGCCGTGACAGATAATACATATAATAATATGTTATATAAATGTCCTTTCTTCTGGACATAGTACAAAATCAGGAATGAAAATTGCTGGAATAAGCATCTGTGATAAGGAGGAATATATGTCTTTTCCTCCAGTTCCATTTTTCAATTAACATAGAACAATGATTGTAGGAATGCGGATAGTGAGAAGAATATAATGCTGTCAAGTCCTTATATTTGCATCAGACTTAATGCTCTCTCTATAAATGTGCAACACACACATGGACACATCAATCCAAAGAGAACCTGTGTACTAATCTACATAATATGTAGCAAAGCATGACTAGAGAACTCTTCTGTCAACAAGTATTGTAGATCACTTCATGAAATCAGGTTGGAACAAAGTCACTGCGACAGATTTACTGAGATGTAACCACAGACATGTAAACCTCACATTAAGACTTGAAACTGTTCATTATGAGATGTGTTGTATTTTGAAAATAATAAATCCATATCCTTTAATTTTTTTTAAGGTTTCCTTTTGTGTTGTAATATTGTCTGCATTGGAAATAAATTGTGTATTAAGTGACACCTCAACAAACTCTGAATTTCATTGTATGTAAGAATTACATTGCCTATATGACCCAAATTTCCCCATGAAGATAAATAAAATAGGTTTTTGGGGGTTTTTTCTAAATCTATTTACAAGATCTGAAAGTTTACCAATAAATTCTCGTAGAGTTTGAGTTTTTTTTGTTAAAGTTTAAACCTGTACCAGTAAGATCATAATTTCTAAACAAAATCTTCCATCTCACCGCACACCTGATCCAGATAGAGGAACTGCTTTGCATATTTTCAAGATTCGTAAATGAAGCATCGCTTCTACAAAATGTAGGTGAACATGATGAAAAGAAAGCAAACCTAGCAAGTAGAGGAGTAATGCATATCTCTCATGTACAATAAGTATAGAGAGAACAACTCTGAGCTTTAAAATCTTAAATGGGAGGAGCCCCGACCCTTGAGGACCATTTTCTATGTTTGTTGCCAGAGATCAAAATCTAAGTACAGATATAAGTTAGGCATAGGAAAATCTCTTGATACACAATTTTATTTTGACATAGCTACAGCGGTTGCCAGGGAAACGGCCTTCATCTTGAAAATAAACAATGAATTTCAAATACCAATTGGATTTCTTATTTACTGACCAAATTTGACAAAATTTGGTGAGAGTATATGTATCTATCAGACCCTATCAGCGTAACAGCAAGTTTTTTTCAATAAGTGCAAAATAAAATAAAATATGAGAATTTTCCCAAAGTATAAAAAAACCTTTTCTAAATATAGGTTGCCTAATCGCTTGCCAATGGGAAAGTGTAATTTTTTTTGCAAATATCTCTCTGTTATATTGATGGCACCCTTGCCATCTATGTTTCCTGAACGTTTCATGTCAAAAGGATCAAAACTAAAGAAGGAGTAAGGAAAAAACAGTTACTGCAAAAAAAATGACATTTGGCGAAAAACGCCAATTATTGTGAAAATTCACTATATTAAAACCCACCCTCATATTTTCAAACGCAATTTACGAGGAGAGTAAAGATTTTCTCAACTGTCTCCAGGCTATTTTTAGACAAAGAACTGGTTGATCTTCAAAAAGTAGCCAAAATCTCAATGAGCATAGCCTGACCCAAAATCGGCAAAATCAAGGGTCGCTCCTCCCCTTAACAGCGGTTGAAGAACCATACCAAACTTAAAATAACTTCGAAAAAAATCCAGGAAAACTAAGCCATTTCGCAAAAGTTGTTCTCTTTGATGGTATCAATTGAAGGAAATGTTGAATACAATCAAACTGCGTTATACCCCCAACCTTGGGATGAGCTTGAAGTTGGCAGAATAGCAGCGCTCGCAATATAACGGAGTTCAAAGCTGTCTGTGTCAAGGGATATGATTTTACTGTGTGATTTGTGTCAGAAAAGTGTGTGTTTTTTTGTGGTAAATTACATGTATTTTTAGAGCTGAGAGTCTCCTCTCTCTCTCTCTCTCTCTCTCTCTCTCTCTCTCTCTCTCTCTCTCTCTCAGAAATCAACAATTTAAAAAAAAAAAACTAGTGGGGAGGTTGGATGGGCAGGGAGATAGCAAATCAGTGACATATAATGCCAGCTCACTGAGTCACGTGTGAGAGAAGTTGGTGCCCTGCAACACCATGCGTAGCGAGTACCTCTCGCGGCCAGTTCACTGGTGGTGTAAAGGGGCAAACTGACGTTAGTTTAGTAACAACCATAGCAACTCAGTCACTTGGTATTTTAATCTAGCACAATCACCAAAATGCCAGTGTGCAGAGGTGAACCAAACTGTGGAACACATCCTTAAGCACTTCAAGACACACAAGACTCTGGAAACAGGAAACGTGGCTAACCCCATTGACACTACGGGGAAAAGCTGTATGGACAGAAAAATGAACTGAGCAGGATGGCCCACTATATGATAGATACCGTACTTGAAGTGTAATTCAATCGAGAATAAGAAGACAATTGGTTATAAATGACAGATGGCAGTTTAAAGGGGCAAATTATATATTTATACAGAGAGGCGTTCCTTTTAGTGTGTTGGCAAAATTGGGCAGCATAACAGGGGGTGGCATAACGAGGTTTGTTTGTTTTAGTAAAGGTTTTACAGCTCTCGCAACTGCATAAGGTCATATGAGTACCTAGTGGTGGATGTCAACAGGGAAGTCCTTACAGGGAATCAGACTTACTCTGCTCACCTCTCTAGCTTCAACAACAGTCTGCTTCAACTATCAAGGCACCCCGAAAATAGCGGTCACAAGAGTGCGACAAACATACAAAAGAAGTAGAAGAAAAATGACGATAGTAAGGATTAGGAAAGAAAAAGCTGCAGTTCCCCGCAGGCTGCAGTTCAGGCAGTTATGGGCTTGACACTGATGAATCAGCCCATTTACAATTACAATTCTACAGGCCTAAAGACACTTCAGTCAGTAAAACCGCCCCGAGGGTAATAACGAGGTTTAAATGCTCATACCTACAAGATCTAAATATAAATGAGAAAAAAATCGTTTCACTGTAAGTCTTTTGGACATCAGGAGACCATTATGACCCTAACCAACTGGATTATTCTGGCAACATGCACTAACCTTCGCAACTGGCACCCCAAAATAAGCCAGCAAGGCAAGTCATGATCAGAACAAGATAAGGAATAGACGTCATTTTTGCAACTGTGATGTTTGGATGTGAGTTCACTTTTCCTGATGTTATAGAAACTCAGTCCATTTCAATATCTGGGGAAAAATAATCAAAGAAAATGTTCTTCAAAGAGTAGACCTATATATATATATATCATATCCCCCCCTTGCGTTTTTTCTATATAATTTAACTGTAAAACGGGCACCTGTCCAACGCGGCCGCGGCCACCATATTTTAACACACAACCCATATCACACTAAGCAAAAACACTTGTCTTAGACGGCCACCTTAGTGACTCTATTACGTTTTGTCATAAATTGTGCATTGACCCCTGGCGTTGTGGGCGAGCCGTCATAATTCAATCACCTGTCGTTGTTGTTAGGTAGTCCCTCCAACCGATCATGTTGCGTAGGCCCCTCCCACTGTTGACCAATAGGTAGGCTACCAATTTTCAGCTGCTGGTGAGGTAAGCGTGTGATCTCTCATAACCCATAAGCCCCGCCCAGAACTCTTACACTAATTGTAAGTGGGATGAGTGGTTACTGTTTACCCAGTCTGTAACAAAGTAACAAAGGACGTCAACATGATCTTGTGACAGAAGCGTTGCTTGTTCTCCAAGTGGTGGCGACCCATGTGTTTGTTTTAACATGGCACTCGATTCTTCCTTATTTGATACATTTTGTTTTATTGTCCCCCTTTGTGCTAAATCAGCAACAAAATAAAAATTACAAACAAAATACAAACTAACAGCAAAAACAACAACAATGCGGCTACTTTCGATTGGGACCTCAGATGGGAATGGTTTGTTTTCTTCATCTTGATCAGTCCTGCCTAAGACGGCCACCTGTCTAATACGGCCACTTTTCTCCTTGACAATGGGTGGCTGTCTTACACAGGTTTGGCTGTATATTATATATATATATATATACAAAAAGGAAAAAGAGCAGGGAAAAATTATACACAAATATGAAAAAAAAACTATCAAAGTAAAATGTAAGGCCAGGGCTGAAAGCTGAAATGGAAACTTAAGTGAAACAGCAAAAGCTAATCGAAATATCTGGCATGGTATTTTTACAATACTTGACTCCGTAAAATTATAAGAATGGTCTGACATGAATCAAAACTACCTCTTTGGTAAAATTTCATCAGACACTTTGTGTGGGCTGATGATAATCAACTCTGAATTTCAGTTAAGCCATCAGCCATTACAAAACAATGAATAATAATATTCTCCTTCATTCTTTATATCACCTACTTCCGCTCTCATTTTCATAGTACACGTAATGACTCCTGGAAAACTAAACATTATACATATCATGAAATTCTCAAAAAGATTAACTTTATTATAACATGTAAATTTGTTCAGGAGACTACATATGATGATATATGTTTGAAAAAATACATATAATATTTATCTATTATATCTATTTGTGGTGGCCGAATTTTGCTATTCAAAAGGCTTTTAAATGGCTGCGGTTTTCGCCAAAAGATTCTTTAAAATATTCTCCAGAGCATGGCGCCCTTGGTTTTTTCAGTTTTGAGACAGTTTTGCTGAAAAATGCTAAATTTCTTTATTTCGCCGATCGCTTTTGTAGGCCGACGCTTCTGTCTCTGTAATTTTAGAAAATCCGGAAGTGATATTTCGCGAGGCGCATTTTGTTTTGAGAGATTCAAAGGGCTTTTTAATGGCTGCATCGATCGAATTGCGGTTTTCGCCAAAAGATTCTTTAAAATATTCTCCACAGCATGGCGCCCTTGGTTTTTTTCAGTTTTGAGACAGTTTTGCTGCAAAATGCTGAATTTCTTTATTTCGTCGATCGCTTTTGTAGGCCAACGCTTCTGTCTTTGCAATTTCAGAAAATCCGGAAGTGATATTTCGCGAGGCGCATTTTGTTTTGAGAGTATTAGATCTAGATCTCTAGACCTTTTAATTTTTTGCATCTCTCAAAATGTATTGCCCCATTCCAGTAGAGTGTAATTAATATAGTGGGCCAATATGACTTTTAGTTGACATTAAAGCACTGATCATTCCTTTCATCGAAAGGGGGCCCAGCTAGTTTTATATATATATATATA